GTTGTATGTTTCGTTGTTGCTACACTGCACACTGACTGGCTCATCTCCCCATGACCATTCTGTAAGGGGATGTCCCGTTACCTACAGATGGGTTTTGGGTCCCCACTCTGCACTCCCTCTCATTCACAATGATAGGATTTTTTTGTTCTTTGATGCAGGATTTTTTTGTTCTTTGATGCTTATTCCTGATCCCTTCAACACCTCGTGATCACACAGGCTGGTGTGCTTCTTCCATGTGGGCTTTCTTGCTTCTGAGCTAGATAGCTGCTTGTTTATCTTCAAGCCTTTAAGACCCCAGGTGCTGTATTTTTTTTGATAGCCAGGCACCACCAGCTTTCTTCACTACATTTGCTTATGCACACATTTGTCTTCAGCAATCATATCAGGAAGGTGGGCACACGATGATATGATTTATTTTGTTCCTTGATGCCCATGTCAACATTTTTATATGTAAGAATTTATATTTGGAGTATTTAGGGCTCTTTGTCTAAACTGGAAATATGAATTCTTACTCATATTTGAAAGGAAATTTGGAATACAATTAAAATTTTAACTCTAGAATCTTTCACCCAAATCTTGTACTCTGAACACATTAATTCCAAAAATAAGTTAGATTATTGATATCTTCTAAGTGCCAAGCATATTAGTATAACATTAGACTTAAGACGGTGACAAGATCTCTATTGAATAAATTAGAAAAATTTCTCAGAGTAAGCTATATAGCAGACAATGGTAAGAAAGTAAATCACAAGGAATTTTTGATCGACCTCCTCTTAAGAAACTTTATAAGTAGCACAAGGGGCCTTTTAAAAATTGTGGGGAAATCCCATTATCATTTATTTTTCCACAAACTTTTTACAGTCTCCTCATAGTTAAGTGTCCGGGATCTTTTCAAGCCTTTGTTAGTTTTCTGATTTACTTACAAATTTGTTTAATGATAAATTTGAGATACTCTTGAAAATTAGATCTAGTCAAGGGTCGATTAGTTATTTTGATTTCTTAAGATTCACTGCCTGTCACTTCTTGCATATCCCATAATTTAGTGTAAAATTAAATACCGAACCATTTCAAATTAAAGCTAAAGCAGTGGTTCTCTGCTGAGTATGAAATTGGATTTCTGTGGCTGATTTGAAATCTTAAGTAGAATTATTCTAGTTCTGGTCTGCCTTACTGAAGTATTTACAGGTAAGATGATATGTTTCCTCAGATTTGCATGCAGAATAAGAAGGACTAGATAAAATAAAACTGACTAAATGTGAATCATTGTGAAAGCTACATCCTACATACATGGAGATCTCTGATGTTCGAGCTACTTCTAACTAAGCCAGAGTTTTTCTATAAGGAAAACATTGTTTTTAAATGTGAAACCATCAAAGAGCTGTAAGTAAGCAACTTAGTTTCCAGCAGAACTCTAAAAACTACTATGCTCAGAAATTAGAGGCTCTAAGAACTTATTCGTGTGATTTTTACCTAAATGGGGTCTATTGTTCCTTTTTAGTGTGACCCAAATCTTCAAGTGTTCAATGTTTTTATTGATAACCTCGATACTCGACTTCCTCGAATTGCATTATTTTCCACAAGAACCATAAAAGCTGGAGAAGAGCTGACTTTTGATTATCAGATGAAAGGTATGGTTTTCAAATAAAGTTTTAGTATCGAGTCTAATCAGCATAGAAAGAGACTAGATTGCCCAATTCAAACTAATGTTCGAGTTGAGAATATTGAGGCTAAACAAGGTCTTCTGACTCAGGAAAGTAGCTAGTAACTAACATCCCGGCCTGGCGGACTGTGGTGCTCTTCCTCATTGTGCTGCTTCTAGACTTTTGTCAGAGTTTCCATTTGGAAGCTTATTTATTACAATAGCCTTTCTCATAACTAATTATATCTTTAAAAACGAAATGCCTACGTTTCCAAACACTAAGGTACATATTCAAAAAATGAACATGCAATCACTCCTACTGAATTTGGCTCTTGAATAGAGTATCTAATCCTATTTCCTTTATGGTGATGATGTAATTTTCTAAGAACGATCATCTTTTCATATTACTTGCTGACCTCGCATTATATATGTGTAAGTAATACATATATGAACTCAATGATTGAATATTAGATTTTTCCCAGTAAGTTTCATCATTCAGAAATCTATTCTGACAAATAGCGAGGGACTTCAAAGGTCCAAGGAAACATTCCATTAGCTGTCAATTATATTTTCCCATGAACGTTTTGAAGCCCCCTTGTATGGGCTAAAAGAATACACTCCACCTTTTACTGGTCCACACTTGTCCCCGTTCATAATAATTTGATTTTGAATGTGTGCATTTGTTTATATATTGTGGTTCTTGGCTATTGTAGAGGCGATTATCAGCTCCCAAAGCGCCATGGGATGGGGTAAAGCTGCCCCATAGGGTTTTCTGGGCTGTCACCTTTTGGGGAGCACATCTCAGTCTTCATCCCTCACAGCTGCAGGGAGTAGGGTTTGAGCCATCAATCTTTCAGTTAGCAATCAAGCTACCGGGACTCTTTATCTATTTATACACACAAAGGAAAGTGACATTTTTTTAGGAGTCAACTTACTCTAATCCTGAATGCATAAAGCTGACTGTCAGTAGAACATTGTAAGTTATCTTGAATCCTTTCCCGAGCTTTCCTTTTCTTTGTATACAGGTTCGGGAGATATATCTTCAGATTCTATCGACTACAGCCCATCCAAAAAGAGGATCAGAACCGTGTGTAAATGTGGGGCTCTGACTTGCCGAGGTTACCTCAACTGAGTTGTCAGGAAACTGAACTGATGATCATTTTAGGATTTT